GAAAGGTTACGATTTGCGGGAGCGCTAACTCGTATGTCCGCATTTGTTGCTGGTGCCAGCTGTTTGAGCTCGCTCTCCATTCGGTGGGNTTGTTGCTGGTGCCAGCTGTTTGAGCTCGCTCTCCATTCGGTGGGCAAATCCGTACAGCTGTGTACTGCCCCCGGAGAGGACAATGTTGCCGTACAGTGGACGGTGTACGGCGGAGTCACACCTGTTGATCGAGTCATGCGCTAAGTGGTGAAGACCAAGACTACTATCACCACCACTTTGAGCAGTCACTTCTTCGTGTTGGAGAAGGAGAACTGGCTGAAAGAGCGCCTCCGGCCCTAGAAATCGCTCACTCTTCAGACTGACCACCTGACCATCAGGCAGGACGAGGGACTTCTCCAGCGAGGCGGAACTCGACGCGGTGAACATCTCCTCCTCAAAGTTCGCCGACACGTAGCAGAGCTTCTCCTTGATCTCGCGGACGGTCTCCCGTTGACCACCACCAGAGAGGGCGTAGTGGCCCCGCTCGAGCACGAGCATTCGCTGGAGGTAGTCGGTGAGGTCGGCGCCCGCCAGCGGCAGTCGGCGGATGGCCTGCGGCCGGGCGAGGCCGCCGATGATGGGCACCGTGTGGGAGGCGCCCTCGCCGACGTCCACCACCAGGCCGGCGGTGTCGCCGGTGGCGTACAGCGAGAGGACCGCCTGCAGGGCGACGTACAGCGCCGGCGCGTTGAAGGTCTCGAAGAGGAGCTCGGTGCTGCGCTCACGGTTGACCTTCGGATTGACGAGGGCGTCCACCAGTAGCACGGGATAGCTTTCTGGGTCCACTTTTAGTTCACTGTTGAAGGTGTGGCGCCACAGGGCCTCCATGGCGTCCCAGTTGGTGATGGCGCCCCGCTCCACGGGGTAGTCCTGAGAAAGGGTGGTGCGCTTTTTGCCGGCAGAGTTCCAAGTTCTGACGCCTTTTTTAAGGCTAGACTACAAAAAGATTAATTTTGAGTATGTGGTGACTACAAGTACATTTTTGTTTGGTAATTTGTTTACTTTTTTTACCCAGTAAAACTTGCCTTAAAACGGTTCTGTCGACCAGAGAAAGGTGTGAAAAATACGCTTGGAGTATTGTCGCTAGAGAAGCCTGCCTTGATAATGGACGATCCATTGTCAATGACAATAGAAACCACCTCATAATCGCTCATAATTTGTACAGGCTCACAGTTAGGAGATCTTTCAATTTATAAATGATTAACAGCTAAAACTACAGAAAAAAAGTAAATACAAGGAAAAACGCAATGTATTGTTTTGTAAGAATGCCAGTTGAGCTATAAATTTTACTATGATAAAAAACTCGTAGCAACTAAACGTTGATAAAGCAAAACTACCAATGTGCAACAGATGTACACATAAAAGAACAATAAAAAAGGTTGTATGACATAAAGAAAAAAATAGAATCAGTCGACATTGTAGATAAGAGATGTCAGCTCTGCTGTTAATGCCATATTCTAATAGTTATCCTTTTGTACCCTTCTCAAAAACCTTTACAGATTCTGTTTTGAAACCGCCCTCGAGGTGGGCCTGATCGTCTTCACCGAGTGTGCAATGTTGCAACTATGAAAATTAGTTTGTGTAAAGATTAGAGTAGAGTTTTGTATAAAGCACATGATTTTAGTTGTAAATGAGTTTTTGCTGATAAGTTTATCAAAATTACAAATAAGTTTTTTGAAACAAAAATTTCATGTAGTAAAAATTGGTTTAACAATGTGTGCAACTTAGACAACACAAAAAAGTAAAAAACAGTATAACAATTTATTTGCTTAATTTTCATCTGGTTTAAAGACACTTTCAACATCGGAGATGAAACGAAATTGCTCCATCGTCAGTGGGGGACATTTTTGATGAATCACTGAAGGCCCGTATTCATCGTACTCCTGTTTGGTGATCAGCAGGCTCTGAAAGGTTGAAAGTGAACTAAAGATAGACCCGCCAATCCAGGCTGAGTCCTTGCGTTCAGGACTAGCAATAATTTGTATACTCATTCCTAACGGTGCTATTGCAGTTATCTCTCTCTTAATGCGGTCAGCCAGTCCCGAAAACATTGTTCCACTGCCAGAGAGGACTATGTTGTTGTACAAACTTGCTTGTAAATTAGTGCTGCATTTTTCTATGCTGCGATTAAGCATTTGGTGGAGACTTAAATTTTCTATATTAAAAAGCGATGGATGAAAAAGTGCCTCAACACAGCGAAATCGTTCACTGCCAATGGTGATCACCTGACCGTCAGGTAGTTCATGTGATATTTCACTCCAATGTGGATTGCTTTCCAGTTTAGCCATCTCCTGTTCCCAGTTTTCAGCCACATAACCCCACTTTTCTTTAATGTTGCGAACAGTTTCCCGTTCGGATGATGTACCAAAGTAGTAGCCTCTCTCAGTGAGCAGTTTCCCCAGGTAGTCCGTTATCTCTTCACCGCCCCAGTTGTAGCGATCAACTGCATGAGGCACCATTTCACCTTCCCAAATAGGAGCCACCTGTGTCACACCACCTCCGCATTCCAGAACGATACCGGTGAGTCGGCCAGTAGAAAGCAAAGAGAGGTAGCTCGAGTTGGCAATGTACATTCCCGGTGTGTTGAACTTCTCAAACATTGCTGTAGTCACCTTTTCACGATTTGCTTTTGAGTTGAGGGAGGCCTCAGTGAGAAGGACCGGGTGCTCTTCAGGGACAACGCTCAGTTCCTTTTTGAAAATGTGTTCCCAAATTTGCTCCATCTCCTCCCAGTTGGTGACGATGCCGTGTTCGATTGGATAGTGCAGGCTGAGATCACGAAATATGGCTCTCCTCCTTCGGGCTTCATCTCCAATGTAAAGTGTTGACTGGTCCTGAAGAAAAGGTGATCGCCCGACCACTGAAGGGAAGATTGCACTCGGGACCTCTTTACCGCTTAAACCGGCTCTGGTCATCGATGATCCACTGTCAATAACGATGGGCGCTATATCATCATCCATTTTGATTCAAAAGTTAACAGAATTAGTTGCACAAAAAAAGTAAGCTTGTAACAGTTTTAAAATAAGAAACACACTGAGGGCGTTTACCTGTTTTTCATTCTTTTTTATTTTTTCTTTCTAATAAAGACGTTATTTCCTATGTTAAGCTATAACATGCTTTCAGATTTTTTAACTGATAATTTCTTTGGCAACTAAAATGACAAAGATTAGCGCAAGAAAACGTTAACGTAGTTTTTACTTTTAAAGCGTTATCATTTTCCTAAATAAGAATAATTGTCAAGCGTATTTTTTTATTATGATGCAATCACGATGCATTTTTGACTATTTTTTGTTTTTTAAAAAAACTGATAACCAAAATGATTTTTAACTGTTTTCTTCCTTTCCTTTACTCCTTCTCCTCAAAACCCTCCGCAGATTCTGCTCTGAAGCCGCCCTCGAGGTGGGCCTGATCGTCTTCACCGAGTCGCTGAAGCTGTACACGCCGCTGTACCTCGCCAACCAGGTGCTCTTCTCGCGGAAGTTCGACGGCAACTCCACCGTGGAGAGCCTGCGCTCCATCCTCCGCTCCTCGGCCTTCCTTGGCGTCAACGCCTTTCTCGTGATCGCCTTCTTCTGCCTCAGTCGGCACCTCTTCGGCCGCTTCTACTACAGCCTGGTGGCCTGTGTGCCAGGCTTCTTCGGCAGTCTGCTGGCGATTCTCGTCGAACGACCTTCTCGGCGGCGGGCGCTGGCCTTCTACGTGGCGAACATCGCCTCGGAGACGGCCTATCGCATTTTAGCCTCCCGAGGGTACATCAGCCCCGTTCCCGGTGGGCGGGCGATGCTCTTCACCGGCGCCATCGTCTCGCTGCTTTTCCTCTTCGAGACCGGGGCGCTGAAGGACCCGCTGCTGAGCTTTGTCTTCCGCCTGGTGATCGGCTCTAAGGTGGCGCAGAAGAAGTCGAAGAGCACCAAAGCAGGAGAAGTTTCGTCCTCAGAAACAGAAATAGAACTTCAACAAAAACAAACCTTGCTTAGCCTAACGGAAAACGATCAGCTGATTGGTCGGCGCTCACTGTGGTATCGGCTGCGGCAGGCGGTGGAAGAGGTAGGACTTTAGTGTTTTGATGCTCTTTTTCAAAAGACCTCTTACCAAAAACTTTTTTACCTTTTTTAGATCAAATCTCAGGCCCAGCAGCACCTCCTACCTTCTTTACCGTCTTTCTTCACCCTCAACCACCCACTTTGCCAGGCCACCAGTCACCCCCAAAGCGGCTGCCTGGAGGAGCTGACGGTGAACGGCCTGCTGAAGCCCTTCCTCCTCGGCTATGGCGCCCAGCTCGCCTTAGGGGCTCTACCTAAACTTCTCTCCCTTCGAGCTTCCGCCCTGCAGGAGACCCTTCTCAACCGGCGGTACCTGCTCTCCCGGCGCCACGCCTCCACCGGCCTCTTCCTCGCCGCCTTCACCGCCGTCTACAAGGGCGTCCGCTGCGGGCTGCGCTGGACGACGGGCACCAGCTCCCACCGCGAGGGGCTGCACTCGGTGGTGGCCGGCCTGGCCGCGGTGATGGCGCCCAGGGCCGTCTTCGGGGGAGGTGACCAAATCGGGCCCAGCACCTCGGTCACCCTCTACCTGGTGTGGAAGACGGTGGAGGCGGTCTTCAGCGCCGGCGCCCGCCGCGGTCTGGTACCCGCGCCGCAGGCCCTCGTGCATGTCATCTACGCAGTGGCCTGCGCGGAGCTCTTCTACGCCGTAAGTAGAATTTGGGTTCTATTTTAGAAACTCTTTGTTGACATTCTTTTTCTCCATTAATTCAGGCCGTCCTCGACCCGCGGCACATCAAGCCCTCCTACAAGCGCTTCCTCGACCGCGTCACCCGCCACAAGCTGGGCTTCATCAATCGCAACGTCCTGGAGGTCTTCGGAACGAACGCCTCAGCCGGCTACGAGGCGATGCAGCTGCCGGTCTACGAGCTGGGCCACACCACGCGCCGCTTTCAGGAGTCGGTGCTCGTCTGGCTGCTTTAACTGAAAACAAAAGAGGTGCTCACCAAATGACCTCGATCGATGGTCAACAGAGAGCTTTCACGCCGCATCGCTGAAATAGAGCTTACATAGGGAGCAAAAAGTGAAAGAATACCGAAAAAGAGGAGGAAGAAAGTTGGTCAACTAGGTACAATGTGGTGCAATTTATAAAGTGCAACTTTTATTTTGTTTGTTTGTCTGTCTGTCTCTAAGTGGAAAAGAACACTCGTCAACTAAACCAACTGGATCATCTCTCTCTCTCTCTCTCTCTCTCTCACAATTTCAAACTACAACTCCTCCACAGTAAACCACTTCCTTCCGCCTTCGGTATCGAGGTTAATCAGCGGTGCGGCTCCCGGCGGGTACTGCATCAGGGACGCCTTCAGAGCCGGGCGAATGCATTGAAAGGGTGTTGGTAGTGAACCCCCCGTCCACCCAAATATCAGTTGATATTGCTCTCCACCTCTACACAAGCACTCCGAAGAATATATGTAGGACTTGCGACTGTAGCGACTGTAGCGACCAGACCGATCCGCTGCACAACCTTCAAATGTCACCCCCAGAATGGTCAACTTTTGCAGAGCGGGAAAGACTCGTGCCGGCTGCAGCACCGGTCCAAAGTGGTTAGGGTCGTGGAATGGCCACTGCAGCGACAGACTGGTCACCGAGGGTAGCGGGGGAAGTAGGGGAAGATCTGCAGGCACCGGATTGCCCATCAGCTTTGCCAATAGATTTAGGTGGAGACGGGTGAGCAGTGGAAGGCTGGAGAGGGCGGTGAAAAGCGGCAGTATATCGGTTGGTTTATTGTACAGCGTCAAGTGAAGGTACCGAAGACTACTGGCTAGTGGCGGCAGAAAAGTGATGATGTTGCGGAGCTCTAACTGATTCACAAAGAGGTAGTCCAGCCGATTTAGAAGAAGTCGCAGGTTATCCGCAGTTTTCCAAAATTGGCCTTTCATTTCCCGGGTGAAAATAGAACGTGGGACCGACGCGAGGCGCAATTTTAGAGCGCCACATTGTGTTTCGCCACCACCGCCGGCAAACTTCTTTAACGAGCCGATGAGAACGTCCTCGTTGTCGTCGGTTTTAAAGCTAAAGCTGGCCAGCCGCCGCAGCACCGGCAGGTACAGGCTTCCCAGCAGAGCGTGCCTGAACACAGGAACATTTGGCCGAATAGGGTCGGCTTCAAAAATGGCCGACCCACTGTTGATCAGCAGGTGTCGCAGTTGGGGCATGCCGTAGTTGATGAGCGAGAGTAGGCGGTGAAAGTTGGCAGAGTGGACGGCTCTATTAAATTCATACTCACGAATGTCTCTAGGTTGCCCATAGGCAGGGGGTAACCCGTAGTACAGGTAGTGAAAGTCGAAGCTGGTCAGCTGTCGGGCGTAGTGCTCCATCACTGGCCACAGCCGAAAGGGCGGAAAAACTTCCTCGTCGCTCTCTTTCAGCTGAATGATCGTCAGTCGACTAATGTTGGGCAGCTCAGTGAACAGACGTTTCATAGCACCAAGATCTGGCTGTGGCATGAAAGAAGTTTGGGAAACAGGTCGCAGGAGATCAGGGTCATCAGTGATCGATGCCTGGTGGTCCACTAGGTGAAAGGGCGAACTTATGGAATAACAGGATTTGTATCTAAGTGAGCCGAAGCTGAGCGTAAGTGAAGTGGCAGCCCTTCGGACCATTGGCTGCAGCCTTTCCCATCGGCGGCAAACCAGAGGGACAGTGGTCAGGCGCTGATAAAGGGGAACTCTGTCAAAGATGAGCAGTAGACAGTCATCGGTGAGGGTGAGGGTGAAGTCCATCAGTGGAGGTGGAGTGGTGGTGGTGGTGGCGGTGGCGGTGGTGGTAATGAGGATTTTCTCGTTGAGGAAAAAAGTTCAGTTTTTCTGCTGCGTCATCAAAAAGATGTCCAGTGCGCTCGGTGTGAGAGCAACTGACAGATAGAGTTACTGCTGTCAAGGATACTACCAGCAGCACAGTCCGTCCATTCAGTCATTTGCGCGGCCAGCCGACGATTTATTGCCGTCCTTTGTGCCAGGCTCGAGGAGAGAGGCAAGAGAGAGAGCTGATGCTGATGCTGAAGAACAAGAACGGCTGCTGCTACAGGATTCGTTTAGTAATCCCTCTACACATTGTGGGCAAACAATACAGGCAAAACTCACACTACGTCAAAAATTTGTTTGACGTACATGCGAACGTAAATCGACTATTTTCACATATTATGTTTAGTTTTAAGTGAAAACTTAGCAAAAACAGGGCTATTTTACACGATTTTACTAGATTTCTACACTTCGCGACGTAGTTGCGAATGTTGACGTTGTGTGGGTTTTGCCTGTACATTGTAGCAACAGCAACAGATTTTCTCTCAGCACACACTGAAAGGCGTTCCCGCGCGTAAAGTTGTGTAACGTCCAGTCTGAATAGGCCCAAATTGTAAAATAGAACACCAGAGAGCAGGCGTAGTCGCAGTAGCCGCCGCAGCCGCCAGACAAACGAAACATGCGACATTTTCTTTCCTGCTGCTGGAAAACACACAACACCTTCTTTCTACTTCTCCGATATCTCTCCAAGACAGTACTGTAAACACTGATTTCGAACACTTAAAAAACATATTCCCTTCCTCCTCAAGACAATGTCCAATCACTTTCGAAACACTAGAGCCCGTTCAGCCTGGCTTTATAGCGGCGGCGGAGGCGGCGATGGCGGGAGCCAAACTAACAAGCTCCCAACTTCGAACTCGACTTCAAGCCAACCGAGCAACTCCACCATCAGCAGTTCCCACAGCAAGGAGGACATCTGCTGCGTCTGCCTGGAACCGGTGGCGGCCAACCGGCGTCGGTACGCGCTGCTCGAACGCTGCGACCACCGCTACTGTGAGCCCTGCGGCCGGCAGCTGGTCAATCACCGCCGACACGACGAGGTCTCCACCGGCATTCGGTGCCCGACCTGTCGCCAGCCGAGCAATCGGATCATCATGTCGGACGTCCTCCTCCTGG